ATCAACTTATGTGCTTTTATGGTTATTGTTAATCGCATGAATCGGAAGATCGGGTTAATAATTAGAACTGTGGTAGAAGAGCCTTTGTGGTATTAACATAGGAATATAGTTAATCTCTTAGGTAGCCATTATTGAGATTTGTGCTTAATGCTGTGTTCTAGAATTAATTGCATAGGAATATAGTAATTGAATCTAGAGTATTAGAATCGTAATACACGCGGAAGCGGGTTATGATTATTTTAGCATCTCAGGTTAATAATCCGGGTTAATTGCTTGCATAATTGAGGGAATTGGGGGAGTAATAATCACATAGGGGGAAGAATAAAATCCTAGGCTTGTCTACTTTGATTAAATCTTCGTTTTTAATTGCTTTCTTGTTTTTGTTTGTTTTTAATTTAGTTTAATTTAGTTTATTCTCTCAAAACTCGACTGTGTAGGGTGGGCTTGATAATAATTGGTAGAATTTAGCGTCTAGGATTAAGTAATTAAATATTCCCTGTGGGTTCGATATCCGGACTTAATTGTCCACTATATTACTTGTACGATACGTGCACTTGCGTGTAGGTTTTCGACCAACAAGTTTTTGGCGCCGTTGCCGGGGAATATTTTAATTATTTATTTTATTCTAGCTCTAAATTTGAACAATTTTCACGATTCACCCAAATTATTTTTTTATTTTTTCGTTTTAATATATATATTTTTTTTTCTTTGGTTACATGTCAGGTTACAATTTTCGCGCAACTCAAACGGGATATGAATGGCTTCCGTCTGGCGAATACCTCCAAAATACCTATAATATGCCGTTGCTTTGTTCAATATGTGGTGGAGAACATTACGCTAACCAATGTTGGTATGCACCGAAGGCGAATAATTTCATAGATAATACCAACAGAGGTTACTGGAACACATACACCAACACGTACGAGCAGAGCAATTCAAGCCAAGATTTCCACAATTTTCAACATCGTGAGCCGCAATTTGATGATTTTCAAACCTATTATGCAAAGCCACGAGAACCCACTATTGAGGAGTGTTATAGGAAATCCATCCTTGAAGATTTTATGAAATCCACTCAAGCATCTATCCGAAGACTTGAAATAATGTTGGAAGAGATGAAGCTCAAGAGGTCTCTTGAAAATATTTCAGACAATATCGAGAATGGTTGCAACAAAGAAAATTCGTCTGAAACTTGTGATGAGAAAAATCCTTTAGACCTAGAAAATAGTGTCGATGAGAGGGAAAAAGAAATTACGAAGACACTTGAAGATGATGAATCAGACAATGAAATCGAGCTCAACTCCAAAGATGTCTCGGAACAAGAGAAGAAGGAGATGGATGTGGTTAATGCAAATATTCAAATTGATGATCTTATTGTTATTCCTGACGTGGCTTTGAAGGCATCAATAGAGGTTGATAAGAAGGCGAATGTGTTTGAAGTGGAGGTTATACGCGGACGTGAGGTTTTTGTTTACCGATTTAAGGGAGCGGGTGATGAAGATCCCTACTTGGCTTCGTACCGATTGATTACAACTAAGAAAGACTACAAGCTAAGGTGGACCCTGACATATTGCAATCCTATCCTTGTATCGGTTGCAATTGAAGTGACAAAGCTCATGGATGGATGCGCAATCTACAAGGCTTTGGATTGGACATAACAATTTCAAGAAGCAAAGTCCGGCTGAAGACTTAAAATTTAGCGCTTCTCGGGAGGCAACCCGAGTTTTATTGTTTTTCGTATTTTTTCTTTAATTTTTCGTTTCGTTTTCTCGTAGGCATGCATTCTAATTTATTATTTGAATTTTATTTTGCAGGGTCGAAAAAGTGATCGAGGGTCGAGTCGGCCGTCCGCGAAAAAAAAAAAAAAAAAAAAAAAAAAAAAAAAAAAAAAATTTGCACCACTGCCTGTGGGACGGCCGTCCCACAAATAGGTGTAAATGTGGGACCCCCGTCCCACAACCAGTAAGGAGAAAAAATTTCGGACGGCCGTCCGAAATTTAGCACAAAAAACGGGACGGCCGTCCGAACCTATTTGGGGCGTTTTAAATGTTTAAAAATCAGATTTTCTCCCCCATTATTTCCTAAACCCTTCTATTTCCTTCTCTCAAACTCCCACACACAAAGGAGGCAAGAGAATCGAACCAAAATCTTCAAAATCTACTCTTTCAAGGCACGCCCACAAGGTGTTCGATAATTTGCTCCAACCAAATTTTGAGTACGATTGTCAACCAATTCTCACCGAATCTATTCCAACCTCTCTCCCAACTTTCTTGTCCAACAAAAGAAGCCGCTCCTCAAGCCCGAGACGACCCCGAAGCCTCAAGCTCCCGTGCCGATCAACGATTCCGAATGAAGATGGAGCGAGAGAGCTTTCCGATGATGAGGAGCATGAGAGAGCTAGGGAGGAGCCCCCCCGATCACATCGACTCCGACTAACTCAGGTGTTTTCTATTCTTAAACTTTGTGCTAAATTCGTTGAGGGCAACGAAAATTTTAAGTTTGGGGGTGAAAAACATGTTATTTTTGTGCTTATTTGTTTTAGTTTGCATGCATTAGGTTTTATTCGTTTTTATTGTTTTTCTCGTTTTTCCGGAATATAAAAAAAAAAAAAAAAAAAAAAAAAATTGCTTGAGTTGAATGCATCGATGATTTATGATGATGAGAGATGATCAATGTTTGATGATGAGATTGCTTGTTTTATGTGATAAGGATTTGATGTTTGTTTAGATTTCGATTCAACGGGACTTAGAAGCGAATTATTGCTAGGAATCACATTTTGTGCATTGCTTTTGTTGAATGTTTTGTATTTTAAATTTGGAATTAATTTGTGCTAAATCATGCTATGTTCGGTTTTAAGACTCACCTTAGGAAATTTATGATACGAAGTATTGAGTAGTGAGTGATTTGGGATATGATTTGGGCCTTCTTTGAACCGTTTGAGCCTTTCAAGCCGACCTTTTTATCGAAATATTCCTTAGAACCTTGATTTGAGCCTCGGAGAAAAGGTGTTCTTTCTTTTAGCCAATGTGTAAGGTAGAATAGGTGGAGATTCTTGAAAAATTACCCCTTGGAGTTCGGTCTAAAAATTTTTAAGGTCCTTCTTCTTCGAGAAAAAAAAAAAAAAAAAAAAAAAAAAAAAAAAAAAAAAAAAAGGAAGAAGACAAACATCTATGCTTCTATATACATAAAAATAAAAAAAAAATAAAAAAGAGAAAAAGAAGAAGAAGAAGAGACTAGAAGGGAGAAATAAGGACTAGTTGTTGAATTATTTTTGAAAACTCAATCCATTGCCTCAAAAGCAAAAGTGGAGACTTTTGAACTTTTGAGAATCGAGTTTATTAAAGTCCGTAGAGGTGAATTCATTGTTTCAAACGCCTATCTTTCAATTTTTGGCGTAATCACCTCAATTCAAGAAGAATAGCCACATATACCCATATTTCCTACCTCGAACCAAAGAGCCTAACAATTGAAAGCCACAAAGCCCCAATGATCCCAATAGCTTAATGTTCGATATTAGTAGAGTAGAAAAATTTGGTGAGTATTTGGAGTCAAGCATTTGCATGTAAGTATAAATTCTTTCTATCTTTAATTTGCAAATATTGGATGCTTGAAGCAATTGTATGAATTGTGGTTTTTGGTAATGGTGAGTGACTAAGTGTTGTTGAATTTTGAGCTTGCGAATGCCTAAGAATTGTCATTATAATTACAAGTTCTGAAAACGTGAAGTTGATCATTGATCTATGTGATGAGATGTTATAGTTGAGTTATTTGCTTATTGGTAGATTTTTGCTTGAGGACAAGCAAAAGTTCAAGTTTGGGGGTGTGTTAAGTGTATATTTTTACACTTTATCGTATCTTTTTATTTGAGCTTTTGGTGTGTTTTAACGATAATTGGTGCTTAAAAAGTTGATTTCTTGTATTTTAGGTACAAATTGAAGAATTGGAAAAGTATGGGGTCAAAACTGCAATTTTGGCGAAAATATGGGTCAAAAGTGAAAATATCAAAATTCTGAAGAAACAAGGCTCGGACCCCCGTCCCAGTTTTAGTGCAAATTATGGGACCCCCGTCCCATACCCCGAAGTTGCGCAGTAAAGGGATTTTAATTGCACAAGGAAACTGCCTTCTTCCCCAAGTTCTTCACCCTATATAAGACCAATCCAAGCACACAATTGGGGATCAATCTGGGGACCCAAATTCAAGAGCAAAGAAGATCAACGAAGATTCAAGCATAGTTTTTCTTATCTAACTTATTTATTTTTATTTTCTTTATCATAAGAACTACGAGTAGCTAGGTCTTTATTTCTAGGATTTTATTTGGAACCCTATGTGGGATTTATGAACCCTTTTCTATGATTTTATGCAAGTTTTAATTCCGGATTATTTCTTCTACTTGTTTTATTAAGTGCATGAACTTGATCAACTTATGTGCTTTTATGTTATTGTTAATCGCATGAATCGGAAGATCGGGTTAATAATTAGAACTGTGGTAGAAGAGCCTTTGTGGTATTAACATAGGAATATAGTTAATCTCTTAGGTAGCCATTATTGAGATTTGTGCTTAATGCTGTGTTCTAGAATTAATTGCATAGGAATATAGTAATTGAATCTAGAGTATTAGAATCGTAATACACGCGGAAGCGGGTTATGATTATTTTAGCATCTCAGGTTAATAATCCGGGTAAATTGCTTGCATAATTGAGGGAATTGGGGGAGTAATAATCACATAGGGGGAAGAATAAAATCCTAGGCTTGTCTACTTTGATTAAATCTTCGTTTTTAATTGCTTTCTTGTTTTTGTTTGTTTTTAATTTAGTTTAATTTAGTTTATTCTCTCAAAACTCGACTGTGTAGGGTGGGCTTGATAATAATTGGTAGAATTTAGCGTCTAGGATTAAGTAATTAAATATTCCCTGTGGGTTCGATATCCGGACTTAATTGTCCACTATATTACTTGTACGATACGTGCACTTGCGTGTAGGTTTTCGACCAACATTTGGATAATTACATCTACCCCTCAGCTATGATTTGTTCTTGCACCTCCACCCTTATGGTGTCAAATTCAACATATTCATCTAGATTTTGTGGAATGTGCCCTAGTTTGTACCCCTTTTGTGTAAAAATACAGTTTCTGATGCACCACAATCTGATATATACAAGCCAAAAAACACATATTAAGGTCATCTTGCTTCAAAATGTGGAGTTCGAATGGAATAAAGCGATAATATTCCATATAATCTAGAAGATTCCACTAAATTTGAAACTGCAAGGGGTGGACATGTAAGAAGATTTATAGTTGAGGGGTGGTTGTAATTACCCAAAAAGGAGGGGGATTGTCGTAAATTGACCATACATTTTACTCATTAAAAAAAATTGTTTCATGAAGAAATATACCTGGATTGTGATCACCAAATATGATCTCAGCAATTGCTTTTCCTCCGGCTCCACCCGGATATCCAGCCCACAATATACTCCCAATCTTTGGATTACCTTTCGCAAACGAAATATCAACAGGACCTCCACAAAGCAATACCAATATAACCGGATTTTTAGCTGCCTTTGCAACAATCGTAATAAGACGTTGCTGCTGACCTGGTAGTACCAAGTCTTCTCGATCCAAATCTTCGCCTTCTCGATCTTGATTAAGTCCCATTACCAGAACCACATAATCTGCTGATTTTGATAGTTCTTTTACAACTTTTATTGAGGAAATCGATGTGCAGTTGATCGTTTCACAACCCTCATGGTATTCAATATTCTTGACATAATTCATTAGTCCTTGTAGTGGAGTAACTGTCTTGCAAGGGGGACCTGCGTAGTTTCCTAAGAGTGTATCGGAGACATTGGCATTTGGGCCTATTACCGCAAGCGATTTTATTTCGGATTTGGATAGTGGAAGAAGATTCGCAGAGTTCTTTAAAAGGACAATCCCGTCACGTGCAACTTCGAGTGCCAAATCTTGATGCTCGCGACTACATACGTCGTTGCGGCTAAGATTGCCGTAAGGAAGTTCACTTGGATTTCCATTGAAAAGTCCTAATCTCATTCTAACAGTGAAGAGATTATAAAGGGCTCTGTCTATATCATCAGATTCAGACACTTTTCCCTTTTCGACTGCTGATTTTGTGTGATTCGCCAAATAGGAGCCGCATTCGACATCCATGCCTGTTTTTTTTTTTTCATTACTAATCTTTAAATAGAAAGAACTCTTGAAAGAATGTAACTCAATTACCTGCTTTGAGAACGTCCGCCACAGCATCTTCAGTTGTTTTGGAGTAATTTTGCTTCTCATAAAGATGCTCGACCGCATGAAAATCCGATGTTATATACCTATTCATTTCCAGTGAGATAGACGCATGATTAAGATGTACAAGAAACAAATTGTTTTTTCAAGTTTCAAAAAAAGTTAAATTACCCTTGGAATCCCCATTCGCCACGAACAGTTTTCGTTAATAGATCATAATCAACACAATTTGGAACACCATTTACAAAATTATAAGCGCACAATATCCCGCTCGCTTGCCCTTCTTGTACACAACTCTTGAAAGGTAGCTGATATGTATCTACCATATCCTGCTTTGTCACCTACACGAAAACAACACATATATTTCTTTAGAAATTCACGTACTAATTAAACAATCAAGGGTTCATTGAACGTTAGTGATAATAGGGCCGGCCGTACGCGAGCATTGAATGTAAAACGACTATTTCCGTTCCAACTCTCTAAATCGTAAGCGGTGAGATGCTTGCAGCATGCAGAGGCTTGTAAACGGCCGTCTTTGAGATCACCGCCTTCGAAACTGTCGCCTTGGATTCCTCGAACATACGAGACAGCATATTTGCTTGTAAGAAAAGGGTCTTCGCCAGGTGTCTCTTGTCCCCTTCCCCACCTCGGATCTCGAAAAATGTTGATGTTTGGCGAAAAAAATGTCATGCCTGTTACCTGCCCTTCATTGTATAGAGCTCTAGCTTCTGTGCCCATCACCTTTAAATTCATACTCAAATTTGTCAGACACTAACAAATTATGCAGCATATTTTGACTTATTATGCAATCAACTTTCTGCTTCGTTACATATTAAAATAAAATTTAAATTTATAAACAAAATATCTATTGAAAGTAATTAAAATTCAAGCAGCTCATGCATCATGTGATCTTAATAGTAATTATCGTTAAAAAAATAAGCCTATTTAATAATGTAGGTTAGTAGGACAGTTATTCAAAATGACTAAAAACACTAGCCCAAAAATAGATTGTTATTACGCCATTAACCTTACCAAAAGGTACGTACAAATTTGTAATAAAGAGGCTTTTGCTATATATTGCTACGAATTTGGCCCGTAGCATATACGGGCGTGACAAAAACTTTGTACGGTAAATGACCGTAGCAAATCCTAACGTTTTACCTTTTGTTACAGATTTTTATCGTAGCAAAAAAATTCATAGTAAAAAGTTATTTTTCTAATAATGAAAATATACAAAATATTGAACAAAAAAAAAAAAAAATCAAAATTTGGAATTTTAAACGATCCTAGTTCTTTTCGGGACTAACCTTGGCCATTCGATACCAAAGGTTTGCATCAAATGTAGCTGCGGTGAGTATAACTTGAGGGAAACTAGTTGCCGCGTTGATAGTCCCGTTGAACGAAACACCGGATTGTGCTGGCGTAGAGCCGCCGACTCCATGCAGAGCTTCCGACCACCACTGGTAGTACGGTATTCCTAGTCTCGGTACGGCCGACGCCTCGTTCACAAGCTGTGATATTTTCTCGTCCAATGAGAGTCGAGATACCAAGTCGCGGGCCCGTTTTTCGATCGGCAAATCAACGTTGCAGAACGGGTACGACTTTGTGGATGGATTTGTGGAGTCACAAGAGAATGGTGGGAGTGGCTGTTTATTAGAATCAGCTGATAATTCAGCATTGAAGAAGATGGGGAGCAATATAGAGCATAATAATATCATTGCATTTTTGAGAGCCATCTTATGGATGATTTGTAATCTCTCATTTTTTTATGAGGTTATTTATTAGGCTAGAAAAATAATACGGCGTCGTTTGTCTGGGGAGATTACTACCCATAATTAATTAAATAATTAGACTTAATTTTCATATTATAAACACAAAAACTTCTCAGGTCGACGAAAAAAAATATCTCTTTATTTATATGCCTTATCATGGCATTTAGTGATTATTTTGTTTGGACCTTATAAAACGACTGGTTTTCATTTTATTAATACTAGCATTTTTTTCCCCGTGCGATGCCGGGGTTCTTATTTTAAAAGTGAAAAAAAATCAAATTAATACATAATAAGAAAATATAGTACACTAAATAGTAAACTTTAATAATGTAATATTATTCATATTTGATATAAAAATATTTTTAAAAATATTACATATTAAGATTTATAATCCAAATTAAAGAAAAATTAAAAATAAATAACTTCCCAAGTACCATTAGGGTAGGATTCTTCACGTTTAAAAATTATAGTTAGAAATTAGTAGAGAAAAAATATTAAAAATAAATAATTACAGAAATATCATTAGGGATTTTTTAGGGTTACCGTTTATTTCTTTTATATATAAGATTATCTTGATCAATCTTATATTGGCACCAAACCATACATAACTAGGGTGATTATAATTAAAAAAAAGAAGAATAATGGGGATCTTAATTTTAAATAATAAGTTTCACTAATATTTTAAACTTTTGATCGAGGTGATCATTCAATGTATTATATCAAAATCAGGCCAAATGAAAAGGTTTTGAGTTCGAGTCGTGTTTCACGTTGTTTTGAATACATTAATGAAGAGGAAATAAAATACCTATATGTAGGTGGTGCTAGTTTCTTGTAGGGGTTGCAATAATTGAATATTGGGGACTGTATTCAATTCGTTCACGTGGGCATGTTTCTTCTAACTTGAAAGACCTACGAATTAATGAAAATTATTGAATATATGTTTAATTACCCATACGCATATGACCAAATGTACTAGTTTCAATTTTGGGCTCTTTGATATAAATACTTCTTTTAATAGAGAGATATCCAAATTATTTTGTAGGGTCTTTCTAGGGTGAAATCCCATGTACTAAACTTTCATGAGATACCCCCTTTATATTGCGCCACGTGTCCCTGCCAAAAAATCCAATTTTTCCTCATTTACGTATTGTCGTAAATACCCTTCGTATAATTAATATTTTCAAAAAATCGGCCATTATATATTATTAATGTAATGTCAATTTTACCCTCTATATTTTTGAATATATGTTTAATTACCCATACGCACGTGACCAAATGTACTAGTTTCAATTTTGGGCTCTATTCAATACTTGCTCCAAAAGACGAAATCCCTCGCACGGCCCGTTAAGGTAGCGGACCCGGACCTGGTGCCCACAAGGAACCAATCTCATTAGTTGAAATTCTCACATTGCGGCTGCCAGGATTCGATCCTAGGACCTTGCTCCAACTTACCACCTCCGGAACCAGTTGAGCTACACCCATGCGGGCGGCTCTATTCAATACTTCTTTTAATACGGAGATATCCAAATTATTTTGTATCGTTTCAGAAAAGTTTCTTTCTAATTTCATCCACTCATTTTTCCACATTCCCTACTTTCCCGAATAAAAAAACATGAATTTAGTAAAAACGAAATAGTAAAAAGGTAAAGTAATAAATAAAAAATGACCATGTAAGAAATCATTGTACAATGTACATTGTTGACCTCTTCGGGCACATGCTTCACGCGATTGTTTTTATTATTACCTTTTTATTATGTGAAATGACAAATAGACTCATGACAATGACACTTGATTAAAAGAGGGACATTCAACTTTTTTGTTTTTCAAATAAATCCAGTTCATTAAAACTTATTTGCAAATAAAGAAAATCCTTTTCAATATACCAAAATTATCCCCAGTTCATTGAAACCCAATTCAACTCCAATGGCATTTTTTTTTAATTTTTTTTTTCTTAAAAAAAATATTTTTATTAATGTTACTTTCTTGGCTGCTAAATTACTATCCCAGCAGTTATTTAACTGCCGGAGACAGTAATTTAACTGTTAATTGACTTTCATTTTCTTCAAAAATATTTTAATTAATATTACTGTCTTGGCTGCTAAATTACTGTCTCCAGCAGTTATTTAACTGTTGGAGACAGTAATTTAACTGTTAATTGACTTTTTCTTTTTAAATATTTTAATTAATATAACTGTATTCGTTGCTAAATTACTGTCTCCAGCAGTTATTAAACTGTATGAGACAGTAATTTAACTGTTAATTGACTTTTTTTTTTGAAATTTGTTTTCTTAAAAAAAATTATTTTAATTAATATTACTGTTTTGCTGCTAAATTACTGTCTCCAACAGTAATTTTACTTTCTGAGACAGTAATTTAGTAGCCAAGACAATAATATTAGTTAAAATATTTTTTTCTAAGAAAAAAAAAATTGAAAAAAAAACAAAAGTCGACGCTGAAATCTGGCCGGAAAAAAAATCAGAAAAAAAATATATTTTGGGAGGTTAATGTGATATATTTGTTTAAATCCGGGGTCAATGTGTAATATTAAGAAAGTTAGAGCATAATGGATGGAATTGAAGAATTATATTATGGAGGGTATTTAAGGCTAAAGGCATGGAGATGAGTTTAATTGAGAGACTGTTTTTTTTTTTTGGACCAATGTGCATTTAAGTTCATGTGATGGACCTTTTTGCCATTTGCCCTTTTATTATTACCTTATTAAATGGCAATTAGAGACAAAGCAAAGATTAAAACGCCTAATCTCTCACCACACACCATAGTATGCAAGGCGGATCCAAATACTTTTTATCGGAAGGTTTTATTTTTTAGGGCACTTTATAAATAAGTTCATCAATGAGTATTTATTTATAAAGAGGTTTAGATAATAAACATTTATATAAAGAAGTTCACATACGGTCTAGATGTTTAGTAAAGACTAAAATAGTCCCTCATGTTTTAATATGCTCAAATTTCATCCTTTAATTTAATCTAACCTCGATTTGACCCCAAATTTCACAAATTATTCAATTTTGACCCAGAACACATTTTTATGGATAATTTCGTCCGTCATCGGTCTCCGGCGTTGATTTTTTTTTTTTTTTTTTATTCCTGATTTTTTCACCACCGATTTCCGGCGTTGACCGGCGGTCAACACAGGTGTCCGGCGTTGACTTTTTCTCTCTCTCTCTCTCCCTCTCTCTTTTTTTTTCTCTTTTGTTGTTCTATTATTGTTAAACAGAGTAAAATTAACTATACTACAGTTTAACACAGTAATATTGCTATATTAATCTCTAGCACAGTAATATTAACACAATAAAACTCATTATTATTGTGTAATAGAGTAATATTAATATGTTGACCGTTCAACAAAGGTAAACATAATAAAAAAGACAAAAGAATTAATATTATTGTGGGTGACAGTAATATACTATAACAACAGTAATATTACCGTTAACCACAGTTACATTATTGTGTTTACAGTAATATTACAATAATAGACAGTAATATTAGTACGTTACTCCGTGAATAACTCAAACAAAACGAAAAAACCCAAAAATATTAATAATATTGATGTGATTGAAAGTAATATTATTTTACTGTCAACGACAATAATATAATTACGTTGACTTGTCAACAAATCAAACAAAAAAAAAATAACAAAAAACAATTAATAATATTGTCATTGACTTTAATTGTATTGTCAACGACAGTACAATTACATAAATGTATTGTCAACGGCAGTACAATTACATTAATGTACTGTCAGTGAAGTATAATTACGTTAATTTACCGTCAGTGACAGTATAATTACCGTTAATGACAACACAATTACGATCAACGTTTAACGGCGGGCGTATAAAAAGACACTAAAAAAAGTCAACGCTAGAGACAGGCAGCGGAAAAAAAAATTTGAAAAGTTAACGCCGGAGACCGGCGGCAAAAAAATAAATTTTGAGAAAAAAAGTATGTAGGACCTCAGGCGCTACCAGTTGTCCTAAAACCAAATTGGTGTTAGGAAAGGCGCAAACCCTAGCCTTATAGTGCATTCAACACACACAAGCGCCCACGACATTCGATTGTGGGCCGCCCAAAACCAAATTGGTATTAGGAAAGGCGCAAACCCTAGCCTTATAGTGCATTGAACACACACAAGCGGCCACGACATTCGATTGTGGGCCGCCCATACCAAGGCCTCCACCACGTGGACAATTGTTGCCAAACCTAGGCTAACAATCTCCCCCTCAGCAATTGCTCAAGCTGGGAATCGAACCTGTTACCTTGGCTCTGATACCACTTGTAGGACCTCAGGCGCTACCAGTTGTCCTAAAACCAATTGGTGTTAGGAAAGGCGCAAACCCTAGCCTTATAGTGCATTCAACATACACAAGCGCCCACGACATTCGATTGTGGGCCGCCCATACCCGGGCCTCCACCACGTGGACAATTGCTGCCAAACCTAGGCTAACAATCTCCCCCTCAGCAATTGCTCAAGCTGGGAATCGAACCCGTTACCTTGGCTCTGATACCACTTGTAGTACCTCAGGCGCTACCAGTTGTCCTAAAACCAATTGGTGTTAGGAAAGACGCAAACCCTAGCCTTATAGTGCATTCAAAACTCACAAGCGCCCACGGCATTCGATTGTGGGCCGCCAATTCCCCGGCCTCCACCACGTGGACAATTGCTGCCAAACCCAGGCTAACAAAGTCAAAATTATATATTTGTGGTCAAAATTGATTAAATTGTGGTTACAATTAAGAATTGAGTGTAAAAAGTTGGAGGTAATTTTGTCATATACATAAATGTTTCCTTTATTTATAATAAATATTAAATGAATGAGCTTATTGATGAAAGATATATAATCCATAAACTTAGAATAATAAAGATGGTTAGTTAGGGACTTATGCACAAAAATCTTAAGGGGTTCTCGGGCGTATTTTTTTTTTGGGAGTGTTTTGGAAAGGTACTT